ATGATTGTCTCACCTCAGCCTTCCAAGGTACTATAGATGGGTACCATTGTTCCTTGATTGTTTACGTGCCTTACTAAGTTTGAATCATGTAACTACATTACTAAAGTAAAAGTACATACTAATTTTATAATAATCTTTAACTAATCTATACTTAATATGAGTTTTTCCCTCCCTTCCCTTCCTCCTCCCTCCCTCTCATTTTCTCTTTCCAGAGTCTCACTATAAAGCCCAAACTGGCCTTGAACTTGCAATCCATCGGCCTCAGCTTCCCGAGTGCTGGGATTAGTTTTATATCACCATGCCCAGCAATTATGAACATCATATTTGTTGGGGGGGGGTTGTCTTTTTGAGATAGGGTCTCATTATGCAGTTCAGGCTGGCCTTGAGCTCACTTTGAAACTCAGGCTAGTCTTTTTTTTTTTTTTTTTTTTTTGTCTTTTTCCTTTTTATCGGTACCGGGGATCGAATTCACAACTGCCTGCTTCAAGGTAGGCGCTTATGCCGCTGAGCTAAACCCCCAGCCCCTCAGGCTAGTCTTGAACGTGTAACAATCCTCCTGCCTCAGCCTCCCAAGTGCTGGGATTACAGGGATGCGGCACCACGTTCAGCTGTTTTCTTAATTTTAAACAATACCATCAAATGAGTTTTTAATGGTCTTAACTTTGAGGTAAAAGGAAATGAGTTAGTGGTCTCTAAAAGGGCTAAAGGGCTGTAGGTGGTTTATGAACTGCTAGCCCAAGGCAACAGGGCTCCACTTGCCTTCAGGGAGCCTATGCCAATAACACATCTACTACACAAGCAGAAAACTTGCTGCAAACTTGAAAACTATGCTCAACCAAGGCTGCCAAAGAGGATGAAGAAAGAGTTCCTAGAAATAACGAGGAAATGATTCCGCAAGAAGACAAGTGTATAAGTAAACAGCTCTATATTGTCATAGCAGAAAATTCATGTCAAGAGGTTGAAGGAAGAGAAGAACACAAAAGTGAAACAGAAGAAAGCAAATCTGGACAAGGAACAGGAAGCTCCTTCCCACAAGTAGGAGCAAAGCCACACAGCTTCCCCGCAGACAGGGACCTCTGGGTTGGCTGTCACCATCCACAGAGGAACTCAGAGGCAGCTTGCCAGCAGCTACCATTTAGCTGCTAATGACAGGCTGGGCCATATAACCAGAAGACACCTTCAAACTCTTTATGGGGAGAAAAACTGAAAAGACTTGGTAGACTCCAGACTGGGAGAGGATATTAGTAACTGTTTTGAGACAGGTCTTACTATGTAGCCCACATGGCCTTAACTCATGGTGACTCTGCTGTCTCCAATAAACTGGGAGTTGGTTTTCCAAGTCATTCTGGGACTTTCATCCCCTTTCCCTACTGCCAAGCTGAGCTTCCATTTATTCATGCTCAGGTCAGCCTTGATGGCTTTCACTGCCTTTCAGGTAGACACTGGCCACATGGTATCTGCATCTACTGACATGTGAGCCTGGGCAAAGGCAGAGGCCACTTTCATGACACTACCCACACGTTAGCGCATGCATGGCAACGGATGCTTCTCTGAGAAGTCAACACCTCCTGCAAGGGTGCTGTTTGCAGACAGCAGGAAGAACATGCTTGAATGCTTGCCAGCTGAGTCTAAGAACTTCCAAGTTGAAATAGGGGACAAAAAAATTCCTCTGGGAGAGGGTACCAGCAATAACAGAAGAAACTCAATAAAAGAGGTGATCATTAAGTATTAGGAGAAAATATCTTGGAATTAAATTGCCAATATCTTACTTAACTTCAGACATGTATAATAAAGATACGAAAAAAAATTTTTTTTTGGGTACTGGGGATTGAACTCACAACCTGATGCTTGCCAAGCAGGTGGCTTATGCACATTGAGCTAAATCCCCAGCCCCAAGATTCTTAAAAATTCTTAAAAATATATACTATATATATATATATATATTTTTTTTTTTTTTTTTTTTTTTTTTTTGAGACAGGATCTTGCTATATAATTCAGGCTGGTTTTAAACTTCAGATCCTCCTGCCTCAGTCTCCTAAATGCTGGGATTACAAGTGTACACCATCACTCCTGGTTTATTTTTCATTTTGAGACAGGACCTTGCTAAATTGCTCAGTCTGGCCTTTAACTTGTGATCCTGTTGCCTCAGCTTCCCAAGGCTGGGATTATAGACATGCATCACTATTACAGGCAGCTAAATTAAGACAAAAATTAATAGGCAGTCAGACAGGGCTAGGCCCTCTAGGGAGTCAGACGAGAACACATCCCCTCTAGGGAGAAGACGAGAACACATTAACACTGGGGTTGGAGATGGATGGAAGAAGGCGACCTCAAGACTAAAGTCACAATGGTCAAATTTACGAATTCCCAAATTTACATATTCCCTTTGAGAATGAAGATTTGAGATTACACTATAATTGATACCACCCTTTTGGAATTTCCTATAGAAATTATCTCACTGGGGCCAAGGATTTAGCTCAGCGGCATAAGCGCCTGCCTTGCAAGCATGAGGTCATGAGTTCGATCCCCAGTACAAAAAAAAAAAAAAAAAAAAGAAATTACCCCACTAGGAATAAACCACCCTCTTTCACCACTAAGACTGAGACTATTAAAATTAAGACTAAAGACAAGATTAAGACCGTAAAATCAAATTCTACAGATTTCTACCTCCCAAAACATATAAAGGATCCCCATTACCAAATGTGAGTGCCTCACTCCTTCAAGCACCCGCAATCTCTTTGAGTGCATCTGTACCTCTCTCAATAAATCTTTCCCACCCTTAACCTCCTGTTCCTTGGAATTCATGCTTTGAGTCTATGAAATGTGAACTCCATACATTTGACATTCAGCAGATTGGAAATTGTCTCTCTCCTGTATCATCACCACGACCAGCTGACATTAGCATTTATTCAGTCTTTTGCAAAGACACAGTTGTAGGCTTTAAGACATTTTAAATGTGAGGAGATGGAGGTCCAGAGAAGTTAAGGTTTACCTTGCAGGTCACACTGCTTATGAGGGCACAACCAGACTCCAACGCCTTGTGAACTAATGCCCACATTCTCTCCGCTGATTACTCTGCACCATCCCTGTCCCTGTGCTGTCATCAGGGATGGCAAGGAGTGCACTGGTGACCAAACACACACACACATGGTGACCAAACCCAAGGCCTGACAGTTCTGGAGTACTTTCTTCAGTTTTGAATGCTAAGCCCTAACAGGGTCATTTGACAAATTAGAATTGGTCTCAAAACCTCAGTAAGGATACTGGGTTACTCTGACCATACAGAAGCTGCTTTAGCTAACAGAGTATCTCTACGGTAAAACAGAACATGGATTTAAAAAATCGAAACCAGATGAATCAGTGGGGTAGATGGTACTCAGGCCTGTTATTCCAGCACTGTAGAAGGCTGATGAGGAGGCTCCCAAGTTCCAGCCCACCCTAGGCAATTCAGCAACTTCATAAGACCTCTCAGAATTTTTTAAAATGGCAAGGAAAGGAGGTAGGCAGATAGCTATTGAGTTCAAGGCCAGCCTGAACTTCACAGTGAGACTGTCTCAAAAACAAAAACAAAAAACTAGGGGCCAGGGATTTAGCTCAGCGGCATAAGCGCCTGCCTTGCAAGCAGGCAGTCGTGAGTTCAATCCCTGATACCGATAAAAAGGAAAAAGACAAACAAACAAACAAACAAAAAAACTAAAGGCCAAGTGCTGGGCGGTGGGGCTAGGAATGTAGCTCAGTTCAAAGGCCCTGGATTCAATCCCCAGTATACCTCCCCACCCTCCAAAAAAAAATGTATTAAAGGAAAAAAAAAAAGCAATAGGCTAGCTGGGTACAGTGGGGCACCACCTGTAGTCCCAAGGAAGCTGATACAGAATCTCAAGTTTGAAGGCAGCCTAGGTAATTTCACAACTTTTTTGTGGAACTGTGACTTGAACTCGGGACCTCGCACTTGCCAGGCAGGTGCCATACAGATGAGCTATATCCCCAGCCCTAATTTTGTGACTTGTCTCAAACTAAAACCAAAAGGGATGGGGATGTAGCTCAGCAACAGAGTGCTGGTTTAGCACATAAAAGGCCCAGCATTTATATCCCAGTACCCCAAATAAAAAAAGAAAAAAGGGGATACACATAGTTGGCCAGGAAACTGCAATTAGGCAATGTCAGACATATCAGAGATGGATCCCAGACCTCAGTCATTTCAAACTCAATCAATATTCCCAAAGCAGGGAAACTCTCAGGAGCAAATCTATAATGCTCACAACATAGTGGCAGTCCACCAGCTTACTGTAGTCTAAAAGCCCTTTGTAAACCTACAAAGAATGGAGCTAGAAACACTGCCAGAAATCTGAATGTCCTCACTGCAGTGCCCCATTTCCAGTTCCAATTACAACTGGGCCTCGTTCCTTGGCAGGGCCCAGACAACGAAATCTGGTAACTCCTAAATCTAGATTCTCAGGGCCACCCGACACAAGAGTGGCATAAGCTTCCCCACAGAGCAGTCTGGTCAAATCTGGCTGCCTTCCTGAGTCTGGACAGTGTGGGTCTTGCTTCATTCAGCACTTTTACCAGGTGAGGCTGTCCCCGGAGAGTGGCATCTGGGAACACACCAAGTATCCAGTGCTCCCTTTCAATCACAGAACCATCCCTGGTTCATTTCTATTTCTTAAGCCGACACAGGCTCTGCTATTTCTTTGGATGAGAGAAATCAGGACAAATCATAGTCACTGAATGCTCTGCCTTACGGTTCCTCTTCTAGGGAATAGTGTGGTTCCTATCTGTGCAATGATTCCTGGAGTCTTATCCAGACAGACTTGCTTGTATCTTGCTCTAGAGTCAACTTGTTCCCTTCTTGAGTAAGCCTGAAGGTTCAAACTCACTTCGAGATGATCTCCTAAACACCACAACAGTAACGTGGGACCTGCATCACTGATTTCCAGACTGGAACACGCATGTAGAGGCTCTTAAAATACAGATTATTAGCCAAGTGTGGTGGCACATACCTGTAATCCCAGGAATCTAGAAGACTGAGGCAGGAGGATTCCAAAATCAAATCCACTTTGTTTAGGAGGTTTCCAAGTTCAAGTAACTTAACAAGGGTCTATCTCAAAATAAAAATTTTAAGAGGGAGGAATGAGTATGAGAGTAGGGTGTAGCTCAATGTAAAGGGCCTGGATTCAAGGCCCAGTACAAAAAAAAACAAAAACAAACACCCATATTACTGAACCCTACCTCCAGAGTTTCTGATTTAGTATGTCGGGGTAAAATTTCAAAATCTGCAGTGTAGCCAGGCATGATGGGATATGACCGCAATCTTAGCACTCAGGAAGCTGAGGCAGGAAGATCTCCATGAGTTCGAAGCCAGCCTGGGCTACATAGCAAGACCCTGTCTCAAAAACAAAATAAAACAAATCAACAACAACAAAAATGCAGTATCAACAAGTGTCCAGGGAATATTACATTCCTATGAGGATCATACTTTGAGTCACAGTCCTTGATCAACAATATTTCAAGTCAGTCACTCACTCACACTGAGGGGAGGGGAGAAAGATTCTCTCTCTCTCTCTTCCTCTCTCTTTCTCTATCTATCTATATATACATATCCATTTGCACCAAAAATTTCAGTGCTTTGTCCTACAAGAAAATTCTCCAGTCTACACAATAGATCTCAACTGAATCTCAAAGGGGAAGTATTCGGGTGTTTAAAACAAATGACTGAGCGAGACCTTAGAAAAAAAAAGAATTAAGCAATTGTACCAATACTCATGATAAATGTGATCACTATGTTCTGTAAACACATAAAGTAAAAAAATTAGCCAGGCATGGTGGTGTATTCCTGTAATCTCAGCACTTGGGAGGCTGAGGCAGCAGGATCACTGTGAGTTCAAGGTCAACCTAGGCTACAAAGTGAGTTCAAGGCCAACCTGATCTGCATTGAGACCCTGTCTCAAAAAAAAATCAAAAAAGGACTAAATAAATAATAAAAAGATGACACTTTGCATACTAACAGTTATTGACATAAGATACCAAGAAATTGCACTTTAAAAAGGGATTTTGAACTCAAAAGCAATAGCAAGCTGAAGCAAATCTCTCCTTTCCTTTGGTTCACAAATTGCATGGCTAATTATAGGCACTAAAACCTGCACAGCTTTTAAAACAGTACTTAGCAATTTTTTTCACCGTGATAAAATCTATCACAATGTTTATCATTTTTACTATTTATAAGTGCACAATTCTGTGGCACTGTGACAATCACACTGTTGTGTCATCACTACTACCTACACCTAAAACTTTTTATCATGCCCAGGAAATTCGGTCCCCTGTAAATAGCAACCTCGCCTTTCAACTAGGGTTTCTACATCCTGTCTGCATGAATTTGCCAATTACAAGTCCTTGTATAACGGGCTCCTACATTTGTCTTTCTGTGCTTGGCTTAATTCACTAAGCACATTGCTTTCAACATCCATCCATATGCAGTACATACTATAATTTAACTCCTTGGAAAGCTAATGCCCCATTACATGCATATATCACATTGTATCTGTTCACCTGCTGAGAGATGCCTGGATTCCTCTGCCCCAGCTAAGAAAGAATGCTGCTATGGATAGGGAAGTACAAGTATCTCTTCCAAGCCCAGCTTCTGCTGATTTTTTTTCTTTTTTTTATTTTTCCTTTATGAGGCAGGGTTTTGCTATGCAGTTCATCCTAGGCTTGAACTCACTTTGTAGGCCCAGGTTGTTCTCACAATTGCAACAATCCTCCTCACTCAGCCTCCTGAGTGCTGGTATTACAGGCATGAGCCACCACACCTAGCTAAAATTTCCTTTTTTTTTTTTGTTTGAAGTTTTTCTTCAACTTTATATTTTATTTATATTTATTTATTTATTGTATATTTGAGACAGGGTTTCACTACCCAGTTCAGACTAGCCTTGAATTCACTTTGTAGCCCAGGCTGGCCTTGAACTGATAGCTACCCTCCTGCCTCGGCCTTGAGTGCTAGGATTACAGCATGTGCCACCATGCCCAGGTTTTTTTTGTTTGTTTTTGTTTTTGTCTTTTTCCTTTTTATCGGTACCGGGGATCGAACTCACGACTGCCTGCTTGCAAGGCAGGCGTTTATGCTGCTGAGCTAAATCCCCAGCCCCCTTATTTTTTATTTTTAAACAAGGTCTCACTAAGTGGCCCAGGAAGGGCTCAAACTTGTGATCTTCCTGCCTCAGTTCCCAGCATTATGTGCATGCACAACCATATTCGGTTGGGTTGTTTGTTTGTTTTTGAGAAGGTAGCTTGTGGTGCTAAGGATCAAACCCAGGGCCTCAGGCATGCTGATTTGGGGGGGGGGGGTTGTTTTGTTTTGTTTTTGGCATTTTGAGACAGGATCTTGCCTTGCAGTTCAGGCTGGGCTTGAGTTCATTTTGTAGCCCAGGCTAGTGTCAAACTCGAAATGATCTTTCTGGCTCAGCTTCCCAAGTGCTAGGATTACAGGTGTGTGCCACCATGCTCAGCTCAAGCATCCTTTTTACCAGTAAGCCAATCCCCTGCCCAAACTTTTTCTAAAGGCAAAGCATAGACCTTATGGACAGTCCTTGTATCTTCAGAAATACAGCTAAAGATCTAGATGGACCCCAAGTTCCCAATCTCCACTGAAGCATTGTCATTTTCTTTCATAGATACACTTACAATAAGCCCATATACCTCAGGAATGATCAATAAAACAGTGTAGCCATACCCCTGCAGGGAAACTTGTGAAGAGCTGAAATCAGAAACACCAAAGGAGAACTGCTTCCTGTATCCATGGGTGCAGGTGTGGTATGCAGGTACATACTACACAGAACTACATGCCACCAGAGAAGCTCTGCGCTTCCAAGTGTGAGCATCCTGTGCTTCTTATCACAAAGTCAATCACCAAAGCTCCTGAACTAGTCCTCTATCCTTTCTTACATTTTTATGAGCCCATGTCACAGTGCATAATAATCGCAACCATCATGAGCTGGTGGCTAGCATGTGTATCACACAGCTTAACCCGTTCCATTCCCTTCAATTTTAAAAACAATCAATGCCAAGTACAACATTGCTACCTGCTTCATGGGCTGCGTGAGAAACAAATGATTTCAATACAATGTCTTCATTCTTCAGCCAGCATATTGCAAACCTTCAAGACACACCCAAAGGACGCAGGAATTGACATACTTCATATAATAAATAGCTCCTCCTCCTGGGCAGGTGCTCTGTGATTCAAGAATTAATAAAGAAAACCACAAGGCAATTTCTCAAGAACAAAACACAGAACAAGGACCAGACACATAGTCACAGACAAGTGAATGACTGCTGGATAAATGAACAAGCTGCAGTGCCACTGAGGATCTGTAAGAACTTCTCACTTTCAGGTGACATTAACAGGAAACAGACAAGAGACTGGCATTAATAATGACCTCCCTTAACACAGAAACAGTAATTTTCAGGCATCATTCAGAAATATCTGGGTTGGGAAAATAAATCACACTACACTATCATGCCTGGGTAAAATAACAGGGCTTTGCTGGTCAGGTAAAATCCCTCCATCTCTGAAAACCTCTGCAAAGGCTGTGAGAATGCTGTTGTCATGCTACAAAACAATTAGTTGTAGGCTACAGTTCTTCAGTACGTGAAGCTGACTCCTAAAACTTGTATCTGAGGACACTATTTTTGGTTTTGTTTTGGTTTGCAGTGCTGGGAATAAAACCCAGGGCCTGTGTACCCTAGGCCAGTGCTCTGCCACTGAGCTGAATCCCTAACCCTGAGGACGTGTATCTGAATAAATACCAAACATGTCAAGCAAAGGCCTATCTTTAACTTAAAAAGGCAGGAACTTATAGCTACTTCTAACTACACAGTCATTCAGAGATAAGCCTCGGTTTCTCAGCCCTGCCACTTCTGGCATTCAGGGAACCACACTAAGCACTGGAGGAGACCCAACAACAATGCTAGTTTCCACTCGCCCAAAGCCAGAAGCCAGAAGCACTGTGGGTGAGGATCAAAGGTCTCCAGGTATTAATAACCAAAACCAAGATAAACAATGGAACGAGACGTTTTTTGTTCACAGGGCTGTTTAAATAAGGTATGTAACAAATATCACTACTCTCCAGTATAGGTCTCACTACTAAACTGTCCAGGCTGGTCCCACACTCCCAATCCTCCTGCCTCAATTTCCCAAGTAGCTGGGATTACAAGCGTGTGCCTCTCATAGGGCCAAACTGTCACTTTAATTATTTATTTTTTTAAATGGTGGTGGACACTGAGGATTTTTGTTAAAACAAAAAGCTAAAAAAAAACCAAAAAGCTTTGGGACCAAGGACATAGCTCAATGGCACACATGCCTGCCTAGCAAGTGCAAGGTCATGAGTTCGATCCCTGGTACTCCCCCTAAATATTAAAAACTTAAATAAAAAAAACTTTATAGGCAAAAACCTAGGCCATTTGGGATATGACGGTGAAGTCTGGAATTTCCAGTTTCACAGTGAGCTACATTTCGATTTCCATTTGGAAGCAGTCTCTCAATAAGTTGCCCACGCTGGCCTTGAACTTGTGATCCTCCTGCCTTTCAAGTAACTGAAATTACAGGCATTCACCACCATCTGGGCCAAATTGCTACTCTTTACACTCTAAGTGTGAGTCACTTTTAGTATCATCAGATGACCTTTTAAAGTTTTATCTGGAGCTGAGAGTGTAGTTCAGAGGCAGAGCACTTCCTTAGTGCATGTATAAAAGCCCTGGGTTCAATCCCCAGCACCAACTACACACATACAAGTATACACACATGTATGTGTGCATGCCTATATACATTGCCTACACATATACATGTAATTATAGGGTTGTTTTTTTTTTTCTTTTTGTACCAGGGATTGAACTCACTACCTCCCATTTGCCAGGCAGGCACTTAAGTCACTGAGTTAAATCCCCCGCCCACACATACATGTATACACACACACGCATGCATATACATGCATCACCTATACACATATACACACATCACCTATAGTACATATATGTAAACATATGCATAAAGTTTTATCAGAAAAAAGCAGGAGAAGAAGCACCACCAACAGAGAATACCACTGATGATCACACAAAAAAAGAAAGAAATCAATGAACCAATGTGTTGCATAAAAAATATTAACAACATAAAAGAGCAAATGCACTAGAAACAAGTGGCTTCTCTGTCATCTTCGCTTTTTTTTTTTTTTTTTTTGAGTAATGCTAGATATTGAACCTATGACTCTCACATACAAGGCAAACTAGGTTACATCCTAGCCCCATGACTTAGAATTCTTATGCTATCTTAAAGTTTTATTTCATTTTTCTTCCTTTTTCCATCTGAAAAAAATCATTTTGTGTGGAACAGGGAAC